TTATAGATTCATAGAGTATGCGACGGAAAGACTCGATCGCCACATATACTATAAAGATAGAACCCATCTGCCGCAAATTTGGTAATTTCCGCGTCGTGGACTCCGTTTATAGGTTCTTAGATCCATGGCTTCCACATAGCGGGGTTCGCGGGCAACTATCGAGCTAGCCGCGAAATACCGCGTAGCAATCATAAGAATTGGTCCATAAATATCGATATAAAGAGAGGGGTGAAACAGGGCAACCCCCTCTCGCCACTTATCTTTAATTTAGTTATAGAAGCCCTTCTACTCCGACTCGAAAGTATGCCCGGGTTCAAAATCAACGGTCATGCCAACTTGAGCTGTCGTGCCTTTGCTGATGACCTAGTGCTCTTGGCTTCTAACATTGAGGATGCTAAAGCACAGCTCCACTTTTTAGTTAGCTTCTTTACCAGCTTTGATATGGACATTTCCATCGACAAATGTGCCGCCTTCCAAATTAAAACTACTAAGGTTAGCTGGTTTATTGTACATCCTCATCTTTACATCAGCGGGCATAAGATCAATTACCTGGGTCCTGATACCCCGATTAGGTATCTTGAAGCCCTGATTTCGCCCTGGAAAGGAGTTTTAACTGACCATTCCATTCGAGGACTGCAGGCTTGTATTGGAAGAGTCAAATCCCTGGCGCTTGAACCGCACCAGAAGGTTGAGCTGTTATCACGTCATCTGATACCTCACTTCCTCTACGGCCTAATTATTGGTAGCCCTTCAATCACGCAAATAAGATCATTAGATCAGAATCTTCGTGTTGCGGTTAAAGAATATCTTCATCTACCACAGTCCACTGCCAATGGTCTGTTATAGGCGGGTAAAAAAGACGGTGGTTTAGGCTTTCCAAAACTTGAAACCATTATCACCTCGGCTGCCTTGAAAGCCTATCTACGTTTCATTAATAAGAACGACCCGGCTATACAACAACTCCTGGAAGGAAGGGCCTCCAGAATGGCTCGGATTGCTGGCATCACCTGGCCGATTACATCTATCATGGCCATTGATAATTTTAAAACCACCGCCAAAAGGAATGAAGCCCTCAGATGGGCCAACTTACCGTCCCAGGGAAAAGGAGTAAAATCCTTCTTCGACGATAAGATTGGCAATGAGTGGCTTTATAAGCCCGTCCTACTGAAGCCGAGTAGATTCATAACCGCACTCAAAATACGGTCCAATGTTGTGGCAGACAAAGTATCGATTAGTAGAGCAAATAAACTTGATTCGGTAATCTGCCGTCATTGTAAAGTTGTGCCCGAGACCCTTGGCCACATAGTGGGTCAGTGTGTCTACAATAAAGGTCTTATTATTAAGAGGCACAATGAAATCTGCAACTTTATTGCTGAGAAGTTACAGAGTCATTCTTCTCCTCCAGCAATTACGAAAGAGCCTATCTTACACTGCCCTGGTGTCGGTAATCTTAAACCCGACTTGGTCATACATAATCAAGATCGAGTGTTTATCGCTAACATTACGGTATGTCATGAGGATGGTAACCAACTTAATAGTGCCAAGGCTCTTAAGATTTCAAAGTACTCGTGCCTCATTCCGAAGGTGCAATTTGACCTTAATGTAGCCGCCGCGGAAGTAGTCCCACTTGTTATCGGAACCAGAGGAGCTATGCCAAAGGACACTATAGCAGCGCTAAAAAAGATTGGTATTTGCGACCGTCAATCTTTCCGAACTATCTCTTTATGCGCCCTTCGCAGCTCAATCGTAATGTATAACTTATTCATGGACTACAATCGCAGATGAACACCCGATCCCTTCGTATCCAGGTTAGTTTCATGTGTGTGATTATTTATACCTAATTAGTTAGTAATGATTATATTATTATCGATAGTCTTTCGGCAAGTGTCCTTATTATGTATCTGGGTTTACATGTAACCATTCATGCGCATATTATTGTACTGCTGGACTGACCTATTCGTCTGGTCTTTTGTCTTATTTCTATTTGTTTACTCTATTATTTAATAGTTATTGACTTGTGTATGTTGAGTACTGTTAGATCTATTTTAGTTTAACGGACAATGTAATACTATTTGCCGAGTTGTTTTTTTTTTATAATCACGAATCGGGTTTGAGGGTTAATATATATGTTTGTTTGGAATGTCATTCTTTTGTCATTGTATTGTCATTGGTGTCATTTTTGTACTATTATTGTTGTTGTTTTTAGCAGTTCGTTGCACATGTGGCTGTAAATGACCAAGTTCTACTGCCTTAGCCGACTGCTTGTTAAAGGCCACCGCACCATTAACGCGGAAATACGAGGACTATTTAGTCACCTCGCAATATTAATTTTTCTTTTCATTTCTTTCTTCATTTACTCAAATATGAGTAAGTTTTACTTCCTTTATTAATTTTTCTTTTCATTTCTTTCTTCATTTACTCAAATATGAGTATTACTTCTATGCTTTACCTAGCTCTTACTATTCATATTACTCTCTTTTATTTCCTAACCCTTTATATCTTTTAACCCGTTCCTCTCGCGTTGAGTGCTGCCTGCTCTCTCAGACACAATGCGCGCATGTTGACATTATGTGTTTTATTACACATTTTGTCACCATGCTCTTTTAAAATAGCCAAATGCCTCGTCATCTAATTAGTGACGCGCATGAATGGAGCACAATGCGCGCATGTTGACATTATGTCTTTTATTACACATTTTGTCACCATGCTCTTTTAAAATAGCCAATGCCTCATCATTTAATTAGTGACGCGCATGAATGGATTAACGAGATTCCCAATCTGTCC